AAGTGAGACACGTGATGGGGCAGTGACTGGTCTTGGAGTGGATGTGGATGTTTCCGGTGCGGATGAAGTGTCGGGAATTGATGAGGCATCAAGTGTTGCTGAGGCTGGAAAATGAGTGATTGAATGTTCTGGTGGACCTTCAATCATTTTATCTGCAGCATCATTGATCCGTGTAATGTCAATGTCCTGAACAGCTTTTTCTACACGATCATGTTTGGGTAAAGGAGGAACTTCCCTAGCTTTACACAATGCATGGATTAAGCATGGAAAAAGGAGCGAGGTTTTTTTTTTCCTGGTTTGCCTGAATCCCAATCTCATGGAATATAAGTTCTCCCACATCAACCTTGATACCCGACATGATGCAAGCAATGAGGATCGCCTTCTCGATACTTAGGTCGGTTTCATTTCTGGAGGGCATTATACGAGAATAGACCAAACTGAGCCAATACCGGCCTTCTTGTGTAAGATCCCTCTTGTAAATCTTCTGGCACAACGCGATCTAGGATGGAGTTCCCTTGGATATGACAGAGGCTACCCAAGCACGCTCGAATTCCGTATTTGAAATCTTTGTGTTAAATTCTATAGTTCCTGGTTCCCAGTCTTCATAATATATATCATTGATTTAGGAGGCATCACAGAATATTTCAACCCCTCGAACTAAGACAGTTTCCAAGAACCTATGGTTTCTCTTCTGTTTAGCATTCCTGGATGCAGAATATGAAGTATAGAATTCCCTAACGAGTATCTCGTATTACTCCCCCAGAACCTGAGTGAAGAACTCCAATCTTCGTGTTTTGATATTTTCTAGCACATGGGGGTAGTGTTCTTTTAACCCGTTCAAGACTAGATGCTTTTCTTCGAGGATCTTTCTCTTTGCCAGGCCATCTCGGTACAGAGGTCAAGAGCTTGAGATCCCAAACCTGAGATCCTAACCACTCTTTCGGTGTGCTTCGGCCTGAAGGTCAACTGGTGGCACAAGAGCAAGCTGTGCTTCCTCCTCTTCAGACTGGGAGGAATGCGCAGATAAAGTTCTGGATGAGTCAGGCTGCTTGCATTGGGATTGTTGTGATGGTGGGATTATAGCATCAACATGTCTCTTTCCTCGAATGGTAGGTTGTCGCGATGCTAGAACTTTCTTTGGTGCTATACCTTGGAGGTTAGCGGTGAGGAAGTGCATCGCATAACACATTATATGACCACCTAAGTGTTATGCGATGGGTTAGTGACTGAGTGATACAAACTAGCTTTGCAATCTATTCTGCGGTCGCATAATGGTTACGCGGGCCACATAAATCAAATTTTCACTGCATTTTTTAAGGCCCAGATTGCATTTTTCTTTGCTTGTGTCTGCGATCATTATGCAGTCCGCAAATCCATTATGCGACCGCATATGTTGCCGTAGACCACAGGTCTTGCTTTCCTTCATTTTCCTCAGCCCTTGCATTCTAAAACACACGTCAAATTGCTCACACTTACAATTAAACTTACTGAAATTAAAATCTAACCAAAAAGTGTTACTACATATGGGTTACCTCCGAAGAAGCGCTTGATTTAATGTTGGGGCACGACGATGTTGCCCCCATTTTGGCTAATCATTGGTGGGGGTCGGTATGGGACCGTCTTTGAGTGCATATTGTTCCACCAAATTCCTTTCTCCACTGGTTCTGAGGTAATGTTGGACCCTTTGGCCATTTACTTTGAAAGTTTGAGTCCCGTCCTCGGATTCCAATTCAATGGCACCATAGGAAAACACATTCACAACTTTGAATGGCCAGACCATTTGGATTTGAATTTGCCCGGAGAGAACTTCAGTCTTGAGTTGAAGAGTAATACCAAGTCACCTGATTTGAATTCCCTCTTCAAAATCTTCTTGTCATGAACAAATTTCATTCTTTCCTTATACATGGTTGCATTCTCGTAGGCATGAAAATGGAATTCTTCCATCTCGTTGAGTTGTGTCATCCTTAGATTAGCAGCTTCGGCCCAGTCAAGACAACTTTTTTAATGCCCACATAGATTTGTGTCCAAGCTCCACTGGCAAATGACATGCCTTACCAAAAACCAACCGGTATGGTGAGGTGCCAATGGGAGTCTTGAATGCTAGTCGATATGCCCACAATGCATCATCTAGCTTCTTTGACCAGTCGGTCTTATTTGCATTAACAGTTTTTGCTAGAATGTTTTTAATCTCCCTGTTGGAGACTTCCACCTGACCGTTTGACTGAGGATGGTGAGGGGTGGCCACTTTGTGCTTAATTCCATATTTGTTGTGCAGCCCGGCAAAAGCTTTATTGCAAAAGTTAGAACCATCATCACTAAGGATGGCCCTTGGGGTTCCAAACCGCGTAAATATGTTCTTCTTCAAGAATGTGGTTACACTCCTTGACTCATTGTTAGGCAAGGCTATTGCCTCGACCCATTTGGAAATATAGTCTACTGCTACCAAGATATATGTCATGCCGTAAGAACTTGTGAAGGGACCTATTAAATCTATCCCCCACACATCAAAGATCTCAACCTCCATCACAAAATTCATAGGCATTTCATGTCTTCTAAAAATTGACCCTTTTTTTGACATTGATCACATGCCTTGACCATTTGGTTTGCATCTTGGTAGATCGATGGCCACAAATAGCCACATTCAAGCACTTTTGCTGCAATACAATTTCCACCATGATGGCCCCCAACTAGGGAGTCATGACATGCTTTGAGAATTTGCATCACTTCATCTTCCGAAACACAATGCCGAATGATGTTGTCGGTGCAAATCCGGAATAAAAAGGGTTCCTCCCAATAGTATTGCCTACACTACCGCAGGAACGTTTTATTTTGATAAGCTTCCAATCTGCCGGGGATAAGGTCACTAACCAAGAAGTTAGCGATGTCGGCATACCAAGGAGTGAACGCGCTAGACAATTCCAATATGTGTTCATCTTGGAAAGCATAATTAATTTCAAGATCTTCTTTTGGTCTCCTGCCTCTTCAAGCCTAGATAAGTGATCCGCAACTTGATTCTCTGTTCCTTTCCAATTTTTAACTTCAAAGTCAAAGTCTTGTAACAAAAGAACCCACCTAATCAATCTTGGTTTAGCATCCCTCTTTGCCATAAGGTAGAGGAGAGCAGCATGATTGGTGTATACTATCACTTTGGAACCCAACAAATAGGCCCATAATGTTTCAAAAGCATAGAAAATAGCAAGCAGTACCGACGTCACACATGAGTTCAAATGGAAGACAGGATGAAGAATATTTGTGCGTCATTGAGTGCCTTACTTTTATAGTAGACAGGATGAAGAATCTTGTTATGTCGTTGACCAAGTACCGCCCCAATAGCTACACCACTGGCGTCACACATGAGTTCAAATGGAAGACAGGATGAAGAATATTTGTGCGTCATTGAGTGCCTTACTTTTATAGTAGACAGGATGAAGAATCTTGTTATGTCGTTGACCAAGTACCGCCCCAATAGCTACACCACTGGCGTCACACATGAGTTCAAATGGAAGAGACCAATCAGGTGTGACCAGAATAGGTGCCGTTGTGAGCCTCGCTTTCAATTCCTCAAAAGCTTTGAGTCGCTTCTCATCAAAACCAAACTTTGCATATTTTTCAAGGAGCTTGCACATGGGACTTGCAATTTTTTAGAAGTCTTTGATAAAACGCCTATAAAAACCCGCATGCCCCAAAAAGCTCCGAACACCTTTTACCGAAATGGGAGGAGGAAGTTTGGAAATGATCTCAATCTTTGCCCGATCAACCTCTATACCTTGCTTAGAAATTTTGTGGCCCAGAACAATACCCTCGTGCACCATGAAGTGACATTTTTCCAAATTTAGCACAAGGTTTGTTTCCTCACATCGTTTGAGCACTTGCCTAAGGTTATCAAGGCAATGCTCAAAGGAATCACCTACTACAGAAACGTCATCCATGAACACCTCTAAGAAATCCTCCACCATGTCCGAGAAGATTGACATCATGCATCGTTGGAAGGCAGCTGAAGCACTGAATAGCCCAAATGGCATCCGGCTAGAAGCAAAAGTCCCATACAGGCATATGAATGTTGTATTCTCTTGATCTTCTAAGGCGATGTTGATTTGGTTATAGCCAGAATAACCATCCAAGAAGCAATAAAATGACCTTCCCGCTAGACGATCAAGCATTTGATGAATAAAAGGCATAGGGAATTGGTCCTTGCAAGTAGCACTATTGAGCTTCCGGTAGTCCATGCAAACACTCCACCCTGTCACCGTCCTTGTTGGGATGAGCTCATTTTTATCGTTTTGAATTATGATCATGCCTCCTTTCTTTGGCACACATTGTATCGAACTAACCCAAGGACTATCGGTAATGGGGTAGACAATCCCGACATCCAACCAATTTATGATTTCTTTCTTTACCACCTCTTGCATGGAAGGGTTTAACCTTCTTTGATGCTCCACGCTATGTTTGCTCTCTTGCTCCAATTGTATCTTATGCTCATAAATTCCAGCGGAAATCCCTCGGATGTCAGCAATTATCTACCCAATGGCATGTATGTGCTCCCTCAAGGTATTCAACAAGTGTTCAATCTGCACATCATTCAAAAAAGAAGAAACGATTATAGGTAGAGTTTTATTGGATCCAAGAAATTTATACCTTAAGTGCGCTGGAAGTAGCTTGAGGTCAAGTTGTGGCGGCTCGATAATTGAAGGCTTAGCGGGAGGAGTGACTCTATTCTCTAAGTCAAGAGAAAATCTATTTGGTGCATAAGTGTAGGACCCAAGCCCTTCCAATGCATTTACCGAATCCATGTATCCTTCCATGTCTTCACCATCAAAATTTACCAAAATAGCCGCCAATGCCTCACCAAGGCATTCTTCTTCCATCTTTACCTCGACTACATCCTCTACCTCATCAACAATATCAATGATCGAGATACTTTCGTATGCATGTGGCAATTTCATAACTTTACTCGCTTGAAAGGTAACCTATTCATCATTAACTCGAAATTTGATCTCATTTCATTCCGAATCCATGAGTGATCTACCGGTAGCAAGGAATGGTCTCCCCAAGATGATAGGGATTTCTTTATCAACAGCACAATCGAGGATAACAAAGTCGGAAGGGAAGAGGAACTTCCCCACTTTCATAAGAACATCATCAACAATTTCCACAGGTCTCTTTACTGAACGGCCGGCCATTTGCAGCCTCATAATTGTAGGCCTAGGCATTCCTAATCCCGCTTGCTTGTAAATAGCAAGAGGAATTAAGTTGATGCTAGCCCCATTATCACAAAGGGCTCGTGCAAAATTGCGTAACCCAATAGTGCATGGAATGATGAAGGCTCCCGGGTCCTTTTTCTTTTGGACGGTGGTTGTTGCAATGATGGCACTAACCCGGTGAGTCACATTCACCACTTCATACTTGGTGGTTTTCTTTTTAGTGATCAAGTCCTTCAAGTACTTAGCAAAACCCGACATCTCTTGAAATGCTTCCACAAATAGAATGTTCACCGATAATTGCTTGAGAATGTCATAGAACTTCTCGAGTTTGCTATCATCAACCTTCCTCGCAAGTCTTTGAGGGAAAGGAGGAGGAGGCCTAGGAATTGGTGCTAGAGTTTTTGGTGTCTCTTTTACCTTTTCCTTAGCCTCTTCACGGTTCATTTCTTGAATTTTCACCTCTGTTGGGAGTTTTTCAGCTTCAACAACAATTGGCACCTCAACTTGTGCCTCAACTTCTTGTTGAGAATCTTCTACTTCGACCACTTGTTCATTCTCTCCTTGAAGTAGTTTCCCACTTCGAGTTGTGATTGCCATCCAATGGGAAGTCGGATCACTCCCACTACCCTTAGGGTTCGCTATTATGTCACTTGGGAGTGTGCCTTTCTGCTTTGAATTTTTCTCTCTTTAAAGATCTCTCATTTGCAATTCCAACTTTTGTATGGATGCGGTGTGAGAACCCACAAGTTCGGCCATGTTCTTCATTGAGGTGTCGGATCTCTCCTGATTTTGCAGCACTCTTTCAAGCATGCTTTCTAACTTGGAATCACTTGAAGAGCTTTCTTTCCAATGCGGAGAGTTAGAGTATTGCCCCTTTGGTGGAACATAGGGGTTTGAACTCCGATTTGAAAAATTATTGTTGTTGTTACTCCAATTTCCTTGATTGGAATTTCCTTGGTCATTTCGCCATTGTTGGGTGCCTTGCCCTTGTGGGTTAGATCTCCATTGGTGTTGTTGTCCTAAACCTTGGTAAGATTGTCTTTGATATCCTCCTTGAGGATTGTTGACATAGTTTGCTTCTTCGTACTCCTCATTCAATATAGGTTGTACATCTCCCACAACATTTGCCTTTTTTGTATGGCTTTCAGCGAATATTTTTGTCAGCACATTGACGTTGGTGGCTAGCCCGGCGATTAACTGATCTCTTTCTTGGTTGTCATTAATCATATTGGTCAAGGAAGGAGTACCATATGCAATTCCACCCGTGGTGTCTTCCGAGTGCCAAGCTTAGTTATGTTCAGCCATTTTATCTAGGATTTGTGTGACCCTTGCAAATGTTTTATCCATAAAGGAACCATCCGCTACATTTTTGGCTATAGATTGATTCATAGATCCAAGCCCATGTAAAACTTCTCTAATAGAATATTATCGGGAAAGCCATGATTCAGCGACCTTACCAAATATAGCTTGAATCTATCCCATGCCTCGTGTAGATGCTCTCCTGGTAATTGCTTGAAGAAGAAGATTTTATTCCGGAGTTCGGATTTCATGCTTTGTGGAAACCATTTTGCTAGGAAAGCTCGGACAAGTTCGGGCCAAGTGTGAATGGAATTAGGTGGTAGATTTTAGATCCATTGTCTTGCCTCTCCAGTCAGAGAGTACTTGAATACCCTCAATCTTAGTGCATCATCTGTGACATGATTCTGCTTGTGCATCGCACATACACCTAAAATATTTCTGAGATGTGGTGTCGGGTCATCATCTGTGGAATTTCGAAAACCCCCCCTCTGCCTTGAGCATTAGTATTAAACTGTGTTCCACTTTGAAGGTAGAAGCATCTACTCTTGGAGGGGCAATGGCATTTGTATCCTCAATATACTCATCTATATCCTCAAAAATATTCTCTTCTTCCGGCTCGCCCATGTCTACCTAGTGACACCAAGCAAAACAAGCAAAGTGTGGTGGAATAGAAGAAGACGTTAAGTGAAGTATACACTAGTTAGTAATTTCAAAACCGTATTCCCCGGCAACGGCACCAAAACTTGATACGCTCAAATTATACCTAAATAAATAGTATAAAGCAATCGATGTCAAATATAGTAACCCAACTAGGTTGGGGTCGAATCCCATAGGGAATAGGTGTGAAAAGGTTACTTGAGTAGGGTGACACTTGACTTAAATTGTAATCCTACTCTGTTAGCTTAAAAAGAGAGTGTCGTAATTGGGATTTATCAATAGAAGCTATTTCGTTGATACAATTTGATTAAATTTATTAAGAATCCAAGTTTGTATCTCCATCAATGGAATGTAATGCTAACGGTGTCCATATTTCATATTCCTAAATGGGAAGCTCGTTGATATGCAAATGATTTCGAAGTTACTAACTAATCTTTTCCAACAATTAGATAGTAGTTCCTCTTTATGATTTCCCAAATATAAAAGAAGTGATAATTAAGAATGACCAATTTATGCCAAGTAGAACCCACTTATTCCAAGTAAAGATAGAATGAATTGGCCCTAGTCAATCTTTGCAACCATCAACTACAAATGACACATGAGAAATGAATAGAAATCAACTTTCCATTATATAAACATTCAATGATGAACACACATTAACATTGCACCCACATAGGATTCACAACCTTAGTATTTAAATTTAGCTACTCATACTAGAATACAACAATGTAATAAATAATGTCATGAAGCTTACAATTATAGACAAAGTCTTGGATTTTATCTCACAAGCTTCCAAAATAATGGTACATTTGATGTCCTAGGTGTAGCCTCCCTCTGTCAGACTAGTTGTACGTCAAAAACTGTAGTTATTCTATTTATAATGGGCTAAAAGTCGGGGTCAAAATATGGCAAATATACCCCTGCGGATCACATCTGCGATCGCAAAAAGGGTCGCAAAACACTTTCGTGGCCGCATAACTGCAACTCCATCGCATAATTGAATGCCATGTTTCCCAGTTGTTCATCGCATTTATGTTATGCAGTCCGCACATTTATTTCGCGATCATATTTGATGCCGCAAACTTGTTCTCGCAGAAACTCTCTTTGCAATTCTGCAATCATTATGCGGTTCGCATAAGTGTTATGCGACCGCAAAATAGATCGCACATTCCACTTTTAGAATTGAGAAAATTTGCTTCACTCTGCGGTTGGTATGCGGCCCACACATCACTTGTGCGGTCGTAGATCTGCCGCATTTCTGCCCTTCTATGGGTTTTTTTCCTCTTTTCCTTGTTCTTGGTTCTTCAAGCCTAGTTTGCTACAAAACATCAAAATTACATAAGAAATAACTTAAAATGGTTCAAAAACGAGCAAGAGTCTATGCAGTTAGTATCAAAAGTGCCGCAATTCTACGACACATCACTTTGTATCCACACTTGACTGGGATGTGTAGAGCCTTGTTGTGATCCATACCCTCCATAAGAAGTTCATCTCTTTGAAAGGAAATTTTGTTTGCTTCGACCATCTTCCCAATGGTTGTTGCTAGCGCTTCGCTAGTGGTATTGCCCAGCACACTTACCCTGCTTAGCACTTTTATAAGAGCATCCTGTGACTATCGGAGCTCATCAACAAATCCATAATTGATGTGGGTAGAGGTCTTCCTCAACTTTTCTTCGATGGAATATTCTTTAACCGACATCTTCCTCCAATACTATGCTACCTCCGCATCTGTTATGTTTCTCCTCTGATTCCGTTATTTACTCGGGTTCGCTCAATTCATTTCTTCTGGAGCGTAACAACACCTTCCTGACCTAGTCATCCCATGAGCATCTGCGATGTCTGTCATTTTTCCCTTTCCCTTTGACAGATAAGTCCATGGAACTATTTTATATTCTCGACTCCCCTCATCTCTAATGGTGGTGATGGGTCGTTGTTGGTATGTCTGAGCCATCACATGAGGTTTCAACTATACAGTGATCAATGGAGTTACCCGAACGGGTGTTCTTGCAGCTTCAGCATTCCCAATAGTGACGATGGTCCCTTTCAAGTCATAGTCCTCATCGAATGTGATCATGTTGGTTCCTTTATTTCTGTGGTTTGGTAGTGGGTTACGATTTACATTTAGTGGGGCTGGGGTTCATTAGATGGCTCCACTCTTAATTAATAGTTCAATCTCATTCTTTAATCTATAATAATCCTCAGTGTCATGCCCAGGAACACCTGGATGGTAGGCGCAACGCTTGTTGGCATCGAAATATTTTGAAAGTTGGTTGGGAATTCTTCCTTCCACCAGGTATATTAGTCCGGCTCTTCTTAACCTTTCGAACAATTGGGCTAAAGGCTCAGCAATTGGAGTGAAATTTCTGGGATTCCCTTCTTCTAAGTTTGGGCATGGTTTGGGTGCATATGCAGGTCTGATTTAGTGGGTAGTGGTTTGAACTGGAGCATATAGCCATGGTGGGTTTGGATGTAAATTAGCTCGGGGTAGGTTATAGTGAGGTTAGGCATTGTAGTATGGTTGGGTGTTGTATACTGAGGTATAAATGGGTTGTTGCACGGGATGAGTGTTTCTGGGGTAGGAGTTGGTTCGAAGAGGAGGACCTGACTGATAGTAGGGGACAATCGCTATTACTTCCTCTTTCTTATTCTTCCCACTGCCGATGGATCCAGATTGTAAAGCGTTGATAGCAGCTTGTAGCACGGTCATTGACTGTATCTTTCCTAACTTGATACCTTCTTCTAAGAAATCTCCCATTTTGACCAATTCGAGAAACTTCTGACCCATCAAACCCATCATCTTTACGAAATAAATTCCCTCTTGAGCACGGATAAAGTACTTGGTTATCTCATTATCATCAAATGGAGGTTGGGTCTTGGCAACTTCTGATCTACAATGACGAGCATATTCTTGAAATGATTCAGAGGGCTTCTTTTGTAGATTCATCAAAGCGAATCTATCTGGAGTGATATCAGTGTTAAATCTGAAGCGATTCATAAAATCTTTAGCCATGTCCTGCCACTCCCTCCAGTTCCTGGGGTCGTGTTTGGTATACCAAGTAAGCACTTTTCCTGTCAGACTCCTTATAAGCAGTTTCATTCTTAGCTTTTTGCGATGTGGTGAAAAAGACTGATTCAACAAGATATGCCTTTTCTCCCCACTCCGTCCAACTTGACACAATATGCCCTAAAATGAGCGTGGGGGTCGCCTATTCTATCAAAACTGTCAAACTTTGGAGGCTTGTACCCTGCGGTCATGTAAACATCAGGATGTATGCACATGTCCTCATAATCCAGTCTCTTGCTCCCTCGAGCAACGTGGAGATTCTTCATCTGTTTCCTCAATACTCACATATGTTCCCACATTGACTCCTCTTCCTTGTATTTTACTTCTTTCTCCATCTCGGCATATTGGTCTATCTCATAGGGCACTTTGACTGTAACAGGCACGGAAAAGGTGGGTTTAGAGGTGGCATATAGAGGTGGAGCATACCGCTCATGTGTGGCGGTGTGTGCCGCAGGTATATACTGTGTGTGGTTGTTGGTAAAAGTGACGTTGTCATGAGGAGGGGTGTGACCAAATTGGTGGTGGCTGGTGGATTTTGTGGTGGTTGGACATAGTTTGGGACATAGGGTGTGTGTATAGGAGGGTTTGATGGATTTGCGGGGGTTACTGGTGGTATAACTTGAGTTGTGGGATTTATGGTGATAGCAGTCGGGGTATTGGTTGTTTGTCGGGTTGATGAAGGGAAATGATCATGAATTGAATATAGGGAAAGAAAGTGGGGTGGTTGCGAAAGAATCATCACGGCCAAGTGTGCCAGCTCTCGGATTTGTTATACCTCTTCTCTCAGCGACTCCATTCGAGAAACATGATCGTCATTCCGGGTATCGTCATTTCCCCCCGATCACCCTGGGTTGTCGGCTACTACTAGAGCGTTTCTGGTTGGGTCATCTGTTGCAATCATATTTCCATTTGATATCGGATTGTACGGTGGCTCGGCCACTTTTAGATATAAACACAAATCAACCAACTATTTTGGGGATAAAATAAAGCGATAAAGCAGAAAATAAAGAGAAGTAGAAGTTAATTTCAGGGATTGCACAAATATAAGCACATAGAGCAGTTAGTTCACGTATTTAGAAAAACGTGTTTCCTAAGATACATAAGGGCCTCTCTTTGCCGGAGGTAGTTCTATATCTCGAGCATATGACAAACAATCAGATTTGACACATTCAGATCCGGAGCAAACTTTAATTTCATTGATAGGATTTGTGGGTTACACCAAGGTTTCATCACTGATACAAGATTGGAGTAATTGTTAATGGCTACAAAATGATTCTAATAGGTTTACAAAAGATTGTGTGGGCTTATAGATCCTCCCCTAGGGAATGAAAAGGTACAACAAAGGGAAATCAACGAGCAACTCAATAATCATCCTTGGAGTCATGTAACCCGATCGGTCGTTTTGAGCATTTGCACTTCGCTCGGTAGTTTGAGGGTATGAGTAGCTCTATATGATATATTATGACTTGTGTTAATCGTCGGTTTTAGTGTTCAGGTTATTCGGAATCGATTTGGAAGAATGAATTTCATGATTGAAGCTTTAAGTTATAAGAGTTGACCAAGTTTGACTTTTTTAGTATTTGACTTCGCATTGGAGTTTTGATGGTTTAGTTAGGCCCGAATGGTGATTTTGGACTCGGTCCTATGCCCGTATTTGCATTTGGATGTTTCTAGAAGGTTTCAGCGCAAATTGGCGAGAGTTGGAAATTTGAAGGTTTGGAAAGTTCATAAGTTTGACCGAGAGTTGAATTTGATGATATCGGATTCGAATTGTGGTTCTGGTAATTGAAATAGCTTCGTTATATCATTTGGGACTTGTATGCAAAATTTGGGTTCATCCCGGGTTGATTTGATATGTTTCGGCGCGAGTTTTGGAAGTTAAAAGTCCAAAGTTGAGTTAAGTTCGAATTGAGGTGCGATTCGGCATTTCGATATTGTTATGTCTGATTTGAGGCCTCGAGTAAGTCCATGTTATATTACGGGACTTGTTCGTATGTTCGGACGGGTTCCCAAGGTGCTCGGGTGAGTTTCGGATAGGTTTGGGTTGTGTTGCGCTCGTATTTTTATATTTCGACGTCGTTTCTTCAAGCATAAATGGTACCACATTAAGTAAATGAGCTCCAATTTTTGTTTTGATTGAAGCATTAGATCCGTATCGTAATTTAGGAACTATAGCAATCGAAATCATCAAGTTTCGACATAGTATGAGGATTTTATGGTCATTTTACTAAGAATTGGGTTGCCAGATTTTTCAGATTAATTACGAAATTGTCACTGAATTCGTATTTAAAAATCTGCACTATTTGCAAATATTGAAACCAACATATCTTCTTCATTATAAGGTCAAATGGAGTGATTCAAAAGCCTAACTTGACTGGAATTTCACAAAAAATCCATTGGAGGCATCAAAAGTGAGTTTTAGGATAGTTTGGCATAAGCAACGAGGCAGAACTGGGGGGCGGAAGCATATAAATCAAGGATTTGTTCATTTGGTCATATTTTGAGTTGGGGAGCTCGAATTTGGACGATGTTTATGTGATTTTCACAACATGGATTAGGGTAAGTGTTCTCTATTTATTTTTTAATTATATTCCATGAATTAATCTTCATTTTTGGCAATTGGTTGATGATTTCAAAAGTGAGATTTAGGGGTTTTTGTCTAAAATTTCATAAAGTAAATTTTTGAGTTTTAAATATCGATTTGGAGTCGGATTTGAGTGAAACTAGTATGGTTGGACTCATAATTGAATGAGTTCTCGGATTTTATAAGTTTCTCGAGTTCCGAGGTACGGGCTCAGGTTGGACCTTTTGGTTGATTTGGGCTTTTGAGTAAAGATTCGACCTTTATCGATTGGGTTGATTCCTTTGGCATTATTTGATGTATTTGAGTTTCTTTTAGCTAGTTTCGAGCCGTTCGGAGGGCGGTACGCGCGAGATGACATTACTGGAGCATCGTCTGACTTGCTCGGTATTGGATTTGGCTTGTTCGAGGTAAGTAACATTTTTAAAGTTGGTGCTGAGGGTATGGAACCCTGAATTAAGTGTTATGTGATTGATATTGAGTTGAGGCACATGCTAGGTGATGGGCGTGTGGGTGTGCACCGTGTAAATTATGATTTAGTCGATTCCATGGAACTGTGTAGCTATTTTATCTGAACATTTTTACCGTACTCTATGTGTTATATGTTGGTATTATTTGGACCCACAGTGGTCGTTATTCGTTGTTGAGTTATTTGCTTAATTGCAGTTATGTACTTAGTCGCATTCATCATTACACATCATATCTCAGTCTTTGTTATTGTGTATTGCCACATCTCTTATCATTGATTAGGGCTGATTAGTATAAGCATTGTGAGCCCGGTGGACTGGAGAGATTGATGACTGAGTGAGGGCGAAGGCCTGATTGTGAGTGATATTTATGTGATTGGGCTGCAGGCCGCAACATGTTTTATTTATTTATGCCTGGATCTAGCTTATTATAGCGCTTGGGGTGAAGGAGCCTCTCCGGAGTCTGCGCACCCACAGTGAGCANGAGAGTGAGACCATGAGATTGAGTACTCTGAGAGTGTGAGTACATGAGTTCATCACTGAGATACATTGCATTTGACATGCGTACTTGAGATACATGCATAGATATGCATTTCTTTCTGCTACCCGGTTTTGGTAATATTCATGATCTTACATGTATCTTGACATATAGGCATAGAGATATATTTTCCTCATGCTATCTAAAAATGAAAACATCTTATTTATTGTTGAATGTTTTTTGGACAAATCAAAGTTTTCAAACTTACTCGTATGCTTTTGGTACTTTCGGTGAAAGATCTTGGATTTGATATCATACTTGAAAAGCATGTCTATTTTCCGTAACTGTGAACGAGTTGAGCATCTTACCTCTGAGTTATTTTCATGTACCCTTTTATTATATTGTTATGAACTATTGCTGGTTATTGGAGTTGGACTCTGACTCTTGTCCCAGCTCGTCATTACTTTCAACCTAAGGTTAGGGTTGTTACTTATTGAGTACATGGGGTCAGTTGTACTCATACTACACTTCTACACCTTGCGTGCAGATTTTGGATGCTGATGTTGCTGTGTATGAAGGATGCTAGCATTGAAGACATACCTGCGTTCCAGTTACAGCTGCCTCTTGTTCATGGTAGCCTTAGACTTATAAAAATTTATTTATGTACATTCGGACAGATGATGTATTTATTTCATACTAGCTTTATAAATTCTAAATCTTAGAAGCTCATGACTTGTACTACCAGTCCTTGGGGGAGTTGTATAAAATTTAGTTATCTCATCTTTGACTCATATCGGTATTATTATATTGTGCTTTATTGTTAATTGGCTTACCTAAACGGTCGGGTTAGGTGCCATCATGATAGTTCTGTTTTTGGGTCGTGACAAGTCACCTCCTAAGCTTTCTTCTTCCGGCTCCTCCTTGGCGTCCTCTTCAACCTCCTCCTCATCCTCGTCATTGCTGTATTTCGGTTCTTCCTCGGGATCCTCCTCTGGCTCTATTTTTGACTCAATCTGTATGTATTCAATCACCTGGTCGTCGTCATCTGGCGGTGGCAGCATGTGGTCGACCAAACCGGGACCACTTGTCAATGCATGGCAGTGGTTACGAGACAGTGGGGAAGGATCTCATGATATATCTGCAGATCTGTGACTAAATCCTCAAATTCGGTTAATCCTTCTCTACTGGGTCTGGCCAACTCATCATCTTTATTAATCTATGCAAAGTACTCAGGCGTGCATCAGGGATTCTACCCCATTGCTATTGTGATCAAGTCGTCCCATTCATCTTGGAGCCTTCTCACCCTCGGGATCAGAATTTGTCTGTTGTATTCATCTTCATACAAAGTTGTCCTTGATCAGAGTGGCACGTCTTGAATCAGATCAAATTGCCTCAAAACCCTTAGAGGTGCGTACGATTGAATGACTTCTAGTCCTACCAACTCAATGAAGTACTTTCCCTGACTCCTCAAAATTGCCCTGCCACTCAACCAAGAAAGTTCCAATTTATGAATTCTCCACTCAGATGGGTCAATATTTCCCGCCACTCACTACTAGAAAATAGACCTATCGCAATAGTTATTTAACAACGGTTATGGAAACGTTGCAATAAAATATCTATGGCAACGGTTGCAACCGTCGCATGTTCCTCTCAGGCCTACTAAGATAGGTAGCAAAATAAATCGGTGCTTTAGGGATTAAACCGTCGCTGTAGGTTGATGTATAGTGACGGTTCCCTGAACCATTGCAATAGATGAATCTTTGGCGACGATTTCTGAAAAAAAAAGGGCTACTGGGTCAGTTGTGCTTTCCCTCCCCATTTTCCCTCTTATAGCTTTATCGCGCCTTTTTTTTACAGAAGGGAGACTAAGCGCCTGAAGGAAAAACAAAAGAAAAACTAAAAGTCCTAGCACATATACAAAGAGCAAAAGGCCTAAAGTTTAATACACGCCCTAAACGAGATAGCACGCTGTCGTCGACACTAAAGATCGATTACCACCAGAAAAGGCTCACGGAAAACCAAGAGATTAAGAGGTTCTTCTCTCTTTATCTCTCTCTTTCTTCAAAACTAATTTTTCTTCTTGCTTATTTGCTCTCATTCATCGACAGAGAGCTTTTTGAGGCCTCTCCAATTTGAAGCTATCTGAAGTCTCGTCTCCCTTTACAATAGGTAAGATTCATTTTATATTCTTATTTATTAATTTATTTATTTTGCAAGTAAAAGACAAATTGAAAATAAATTATTGGAGTAGCTTCTTTATATTTGTCGTCTTTAGTATGCAATTCGATCTGGTGCTGATATTAGTGACTTTTTGTTCGCTTTTATTAATACCTGTGATTTACAATCAAAAGCCTCTAACTTTGTTAAACGAGACAAAGCACAATAATTGGTTTTTGAAATAGGGTCTCAATGTTTATGCATATTTTTCTCCAAAATTTATGTGTATTTCACCGAAAATAAGTGAGGCAAGTATGAAGAAGAGTATGTATCTGGAGAACTTCTTGTATTGTGAAACTGTGACATAGAGTTGAATTGTTTATGCTGCTGAAATCAAGAAGTGTATTTGACAATTGATAATTTGACATCACAATATATGCCTCACAAAAAAGATTACATTTAGATATAACTTTTCTCCATTCTACTTTTTGAATATTTTCTGATAGTTGGAGAGATTGTAGTATAATTTAGCGAGTTGAGTTTGGGTCGACGTCACAATGTTCCATATTATTTGTTGTTAGTGGACACTGTAGAGAACTCTCTAACAAGTTGTGCTATTCCTGAAAGTTCAATAAAAGTCCACCAAAGTGTTGAAAAATATGAAAAATGCATCCCATAATCTGTAGCTACCAAATTTAGCAACTTGATGCTTTTATTTTCTTTGTATTTAGATCTTTTTTTGTTAATGAATTTGCAGCCGTTATAGGACCTGAACATCCAGGACGTCTTAGATTGTATGGACGAGGGGTTACAAGAACTTCTTTGAAAGAAAAAATGGGACATTTTGAACCCTCTTCACATGCTACAAATAATCTGGTGCAACAAATGGAAGAAAGGATGATAAGAATGTTTGACGAATAAAAGGAACAATTTGAGAAACAGAAGGAAGAATTTGAAAAACAAAAGGAACAATATGCGGAACAAAAGAAAATGATGCGACAAGAAATTCTAGGAGATATCTTTGTACAGTTTCAGCTTTCAGGATTGCCAATTGATCCTACTATTTTAGCAACCTTGTGTGCGCGTTCATCAGGAGAAGCTTCCTCCGCCCAACAAGTAGCTATTCAACCAATCAACAGGCCATCTTTTGGAAGCAACAATCAAGGTTAGAATTTTCTTTTTGAGATTAGTTATAGATTGATTAATTTTTAATTTGTGCAATTTATGTGATTTACTTTTAGTTTTGTGGTAAAAACAACCAACAGGTCATAAAACCATTGAATTCGACGTGTTATTTGTTGTGAAAAATAAATTTGTTGTATTCTCCTAACTGGATAGAAATAAAAATCAGTGCTCTCTATTGTTTCAATCAAGAGAGCACTGATTTCAGGATCCTATTTTGGTTTCTGCTATAACTGATAGGATACCAGAAAATAAATGCCCTTTTTACTGATTTTGCTATAACTGAAACATGTGCTAAGTTGGTTGTACATGAATATGTCATTTGTCTTTCCAGAAATAAATTAAAAGCATATTAAGAAATAGCATTTTACTAAAATAGTCCATGCGTCATGCAATTTTGTTCAAATACCAGCTAGGCAGTTCAGTGGAGTGAAAGAAGTCTCCTCCTCACCTATTTGTCTCTAGTCCAATTTACTTAACCAGACTGCTGAAGCCAAAACATCCATTTTCACCTATTAGCTTTATTCGACATTTACCATTTTGTTGGCATTAGCTGCTACAACTCTGTTCTTTCCTTAGGTAGATTTAGCTCCCTGTATACCTTGCTTTATAGCTTCATATAGGTTTGTAGTCATCGTATGATTTTGTACTTTTATTCATTGCTTGGTATAAAATTGCAGTCACCTTGAGGCTTGGTATACCACGTTACCAAGTTAATATTTAATTAAATTGCTGCTACTATTTCAATTAAACAAGTCAGGCTTACGCACACCCCTAGAACAAGAAATTGGTTTCAATGAGGCAAAACGAATGTATTTTGCTGTCGTGGTCTCTGGATTGGCAGATGATGAGTTCTTAGCATTGTATAGAAAATTATGATGTCTGGTGCTTATGTCCTTGCCGCTTGTGAGCTGTTTCTACAAGAAATGTTATTGGTCATTGCTTCCTTGATTGCTTTCTTTTGATTACATGAGTATCATCCTTTTGGGACTAGCTTCTGTATGTTGTACAATTGTTTTGACAAACTCGGTTTATGTATTCTGACAGCTTAAACTGCAGAGAAATTTTGAGGAACTTGATAGTGCATAACTATTGGTCTATCTTGGAAGTATATAAGGATGTACAATTTGAAGACTTGCATTATTTGTGTTCTTCCATTATTTGGTGATGCACTCTTATGTGAAAGCTTGCTTATGACGGAAAGTTGTCCTTGGAATGAGTGTGCTAATCTTGTGAGTTTCTATGGTTGATCCTATACACTGATTTGTTAATGCAATGGAGATTGCACTATGAAGGTAGAGCAATTACATATAGTGAGGCATTTCATTTGCTGCTGTCAGTCTGGCAGTTTGTCCCAACAAGAATTATAACTCATAAGAAAGTAATTAATAGTTTGTCATATTTCCTATATGTGGCCCTTGCATAGTCTTAGTCTTTGTTGGGGTTTCTACTATGATTTTTATGATTTTCACCTATTTCATTGACCGTTAGGTCACATACTTGGATGCTCTAATTGTAAGGCTGGTATCTGTTGATTCTCCTGTATTCTCCTCCCTGCATTAACGGCTGCAATTTTCTTATGAACTAAGCTTAGTAGTTGTTAGCCTATTTTCATTGAAAAACACATACATCAAGTTGCGGGTCTAATTTTCTCCTATAGAAAGAAAAAGGGCCCCAAGATTTTGACTAATTAGTGGCATCCAAGATTTTGAGGTAGCCTTCACTTGTAAAAGTTGCAGTCTTTAAGTTCATCTTTAGTTTAGTCTTTAAGTACTTATATTATTTTATTGGTGTTAATATATAGTACAATAATAATGATATTGAGAAGAAACTATTTTTCTTTTTCCTATCCTCTCATTATTGTTGTTCTTGTTGAATTTACAGCTGAACCAAATGATCAAGGGGAAGATGAAAGCAGTGAAGACCTTACCTAAAAATATTGGTTGTAGAATCTACAGACAATCTAAGAATATTTTTATTTTTGAATTATTTTGCAAACTTATATATGCCAACTTTTGGATTATTAAACACTTTTATCGTATATTTTTCTTTTATCGTGGTTGTGTATTTTGAATTATGATTTTGTTGATGAATATATTTTAATTTCATCATTTATATATTAGTTTCTGTGTATTATATATTTATCTTGTCGCGATAGCTGATAACAACCGTTAATAGCACCAAACAACCGTTGCAGTAGCTCCTTATAACCGTTGCAGTAGCTCATATAACCGTTGCATAAGCTTTTAATAACCGTTTCAATAAACAAAACAAAACAGCGTCAAAAATGTTGTAAGGTCTATAGCAATGGTTCTCAACCGTCGTAATAATCATATAGCTGCGGTTCAAAAACCGTTGCCATAGCTCGCTACTAATCGTTGTAACATATTTTATTTATTTTTTCTTAAATGGAGTGAACGATTAAACGTGGACAGCTAAAAATGAACGGAGAGAGTAGAATATATTATACAAGAATTATTGTTTTCTTATACTAGAAATCAAACGACCCTTTGGAGTAGTTCAATTATGGAACATCGGATGCCCATCGGACTCAAAAGGCCATGGCAAGGTCGAGGCATCGAGATTGCGAATACTTCATTCAAATTGTAAGTCACAGTTCACAAGGTTAATCGTACCTAGATTAACAAGAAACCCGCCTAGCAAACAGCTTTGATTACAAGTTCTCAACCTTTCCAGCAACTCTCCTCTCAAAGCACTTCTTGTTTTAAAATAATTTGGCTATGTACTCTTCATGAATACTTCAAATAAATCTTGACGAGAAAAAAGAAGAAGAAATTCTTCAAAAACTTGTTGTTTAGTACATGATGAGGCTAAAATGATATACTTTATATCGTCATTTACCCTACGTTTTATTTGTAATATTAACGATTCGTGCTATATTTGTGATTAATTGAGTTATTTTTGCGTGTAGGCTCACTTGGGAAAGAAGTGGAAACAAAGTTGGACAAAAAGGCATCAAAGACAATAAAATAGAGCGCAAGAGGAACCACGACGCAAGGCCGCAAAAGCACTGCATTCCTGATCGCGCTAGGCGAGCTCCAGGGCGAGGAAACCACTGCTCCTTAGACGGCTCTAGGCGAGGCTCAGGGCGCCGAGTTCAGCGCCTCCCACAAATCCTCGTGCCTATACCCCTTTGTCCGAGAAACGTCAGTCTCCTTGTTGGTTTTGGATTTGAACACTACGATTCTAACCTATAAATACTCCCTAAACTCAGTTTTTTTAGAGGGTTGGACATTATTTTGAAGGCACAAGACAACTAGAACAATTGCAAGCATCAGATCACATGAATTCTTCTTCCAATTCTTCCTAGTTTGTAGATTAATGCTTTCAATTATTAACGTGATTGTTAGCATGACTTTGAGTAGCCAAATTATTATCGTTACATTCTAATATAATTTTACCTTTGGATTTTACTACTTATTCAACTACGTACTTATTTTAGTTAATTGAAGAGCTCTAAGTTGATTATGCCTATCTATTATGTATTGCTTGAGAAAGAATGCATATTTAGTTTGTTGTTGAACCATGTCACTCCCAAGGTATATGAGAGAAACATACGACGAGTTTAAAAGCAAAATTAGAGATAATGAAGCTTTAACGTGATCATAGTGAACGGTAAAAAAGTGCGAGCTAGCGTAATTCGAGAAAATAAGACTAATATATTATTGTAGTTGCTCGAGAGAGAATTATGATAAGTCGAGTGCTCATGATCAGCAGAGAATAATTAGGCGAAATTATAATAGGCGTAGCGGGAAGGATTCCGATAATTAGGAAAATCATAACTCTAGGTTTTTCTAATCTTGGGTAACGACCTTGTCAGTCGTTTCATGTATTGTAGCCCTGTTACCCTATATATTGCCTCTTATATGTTCATCTTTAGTTATGTGACTTTCCGGGATGGTTGGATTAATTTCGGGAAAGTTTCGGAGTGAATTGGGACACTTAGTCCCAAGGTTGAAAGCTTACGTTGAAAGAGTTGACCAAAGATTGACTTTTATGTGGACGACTCAAAAATAGAGCTTTGATGGTTCCAATTACTTCGTAAGGTAATTTTGTACTTAGGCGTATGCTCGGATATTGATTTTAAGGTCCGTAGGTTGGTTTGAGGCTTTTTGGGGAAAATTGAAAAGTTGAAGGTTTGGAAGATTGAGAGGTTTGGCCAAGAGTTGACTTTATTGATATCAGGTTTGAATTTTTCTTTCGTGAGTTGGAATAGGTTCATTGTGTCATTTGGGACTTGCATGAAAAATTTGAGGTCATTCAGAGTTGATTTGATATGGTTCGGCATTAGTTTTAGAAGTTAGAGGTTCATTAGTTCATTAGGCTTGAATTGGAGTGGGATTCGTGGTTTTGATATTGTTTTGTGTGATTGAGGCTTCAAGTAGGTTTTTGTCGTGTTAAGGGATTGGTTGGTGTGATTGGACGGGGTCTCAGGGGCCTCGGGTGTGTTTCGGATGGGCTACAAACTTTTTTCTTCAGGTTTGGGTAGTTGATCTGGTGTCTGGTGTGTGCTTCTTCACGTTACACGAGGATCGCGTTTGCGTAGGGTCTTCTTGGTTGGCAGGTGGTTTTGTTCTTCGTGTTCGTGGAGAGAGTGACGCATTTGCGAAGCTTTGGAGAGTCTGTGCATCACAATCGCAAGCAGGGAGTCGCGTTCGCGTAAGAGGGAGGCCGGCTTGGGGCACCAGGCCTTAAGCCTTCGCGTTCGCGGAATGATGGACGCGTTCCCGTAGACGTAGAACTGTGGGGCATCGCATTCGCGACCTAGACTTTGCGTTCGCATAGAAGGTTTTGGCAGCTGAAGAACTTTGTTCTTCGTGATCGCGAAAGGTAAATACCTGGGTAGAATGTTTTAAAACTCTATTTCGATGGTTTGGTTATTATATCGCATTTTGAGTTAGAGAGCTCGATTTTGGGAAATATTGGAGGATATTTTCACGATTTGGATCGGGGTAAGTATTTTTGACTCGAATTTATTATTATTTCATGATTCCATATTTGTTTTTAGCATTTAATTGGTGAATTAAAGTGAATAAATGGAAGATTTTAGTAAAAACTTCCTAAAGTGAAAATTGAGGTTTTGAAGGTCGAATTGAGGTCAGAATTAGATAAAATTAGTATGTTGAACTCGTAATTGAATGAGTATTCAGAACTTGTGAGCTTGACCAGGTTCTGGGGTGCGAGTCTGAGGTTGACTTTTTAGGTTGATCTTTTGATTGTGATAAAGATCGAGGCTTTGTTATTTGAAATTGTTTCCTACGGTATTATTTGACGATATTAAGTTGTTGTGACTAGATTCGAGTCGTTCGGAGGCCTATTCATGAGGCAGGATTTTTTTGAATATTGAGTTGCGTGTTTTGAGGTAAGTAATATTTCTAAACTTCAAATTGAGTGTAATTATCTCTGGAACCATGTTATTTGTGTTGTGTTGGGGTGACGCACATGCTAGGTGACGAGCGTGTGGTCGTGCACCAGAATAATCATGATCCGGGTTGACTTTTGGACTATGTTGCTATCATACCTTGTTTTATTCGTGTTTTCCCTACTTGTTAGGGTTACTGAGCTATGATTCATGCTAGAAATCATATTTAGGTTATGCAGTTATTTTGTTGAGACTTAATGAGGTTATTTCTGTTATTTTGGGTTATCTGGCTTAACTGTAATTGTACTCTCAGTCATGATTTTTCATTTGCATATCATCTCTTAGTCTTTATTCATCATTCATTGTTACATCGCATGTTATCATTGTTTTTCCATATGTGCTGCTATTAGGCTGGTTGATATGAGATTTTGAGCCCTTGAGACTTGAAAGATTGATGACTGAGGTGGGCCTTAAAGCCGTGTTGAGAGTGTTATCGTGGATCAGGATGCACATCGCAGCAGGCCATATTGGCTTTATTATTGATAATTATTATTATTATGTAGATCGAGCAACACGCCGTAGCAGGCCATATTGGCTTTATATTAGCGCTTGGGCAGGATCCACCCCTCCGGAGACTGACATACTAGCAGTGAGTGCAGACACAATGATATACATACAAGTGCTTTGGTGAGGGGCATTGATGCCAGGCACCGTACAATGCTGAATGATTGTGTGTGTATGATGAGGTAGGCATTTGAGACAAACATCTTGAGTATGTTGAGAGTGAGAACATATGGGGATATCACCGTGAAATCATTTAGTTGACATGCATACTTGACATGTACGCATAGAGATGTATCATTCCTCATGCTAGCTGTAACTGGCTCGTTCTTATCAGTGTTGGGTTTTAATTGTTATACTTGAAAGGATGTCTAAATTCTTGTAAAATGAACGAGCTAATTTTGATGATTCCTCTGAGTTACTTATTACCATTGTCATCATTATATTTGTGTTATCGTTTATATTGGTTTCTGACTGTCCTCTTCTGAGCTCGTCACTGCTTTCAACCCAAAGTTAGTTCTGTTACTTATTTAGTACATGAGGTCGGTTGTACTCAAACTATACTCTTATCATGACCCAAAATCTCAACCTCGGGACCGTGATGACATCTAACATTTTACTTGCAAGACAAGCCAACGTTAGCTAAGTTACTTTACCGGTTTTAACAATCTAATTCAAAACACTAATAATAATTAACCGTAGTCATCTGAAATATATTAATAAAATACCGAATGACAAAATTTATACATATCCCAGAATCTGGAGTCACGAATACATGAGCATTTAGAATACTACAAATATGGTCTGAAATAAAGTACGACTGTTTGATATTAAATAAACATTGAAATTGGATAAAGAAGGGGACCCATGTAATGAACCAACCGGTTGTTTTACTTTCTAGATCCCTATTCCCTCATTTAAAACTCCCTGTATATGATTTTACTATTTTATGATTTGTGGGGATGGTTGGTTTAGTTTTGGAAGTGTTCGGGTTGAATCAGAATACTGAGTTCCTTAATAGTGGCCAAGTTTGACTTGAATCAATATTTTGAGTAAACGACCTCGGAACCGGGATTTGATGGTTTTAATAGGTTCGTATAGTAATTTTGGACTTGAACGTATGTTCGGA